GTTATAATATTGGTCTGAAAGCACCGTGTCACATGTCATTAACCACTTGCCGCGTGCAAAGTGCCACCTTGATATGAAAGCGGCTTGACCTTGTCCTGAAGTGGCAAACAGCAGGTGGTGTCAACTGAAAAGTGATTTCAGACCTAGGTTGCACGTGGCGCGTGTCAGACCGCTTTCAATCGGTTCACAAGATATATATATTTATGTCACTTGGTGGAGGACTTTGGGGCAGAATGTGTGGCACTTGTTCCATACCCCCTTCTCTCTCTGTCCAGGGCGTAGGCGGAGTGACCCCTAAGGTGTAGCTACTACACATAAGTGTTGGGTAGCAGAAGCGGCAACATATTTGTTGGAGAATGAAATCACTGATACAAAATTCGAAACAAAGTACTGAACTATTACCTGAAAATGCTTGTACGTTTTTTTTCACAAACAAAATATTGGGATAATTCCACCACGGAAAGTATCGTCACTGAACTGAGTAGATGTTTCATCATACAAACATTTGTATTTCCTCACAGTTTGTACAAATGTGTTGATTGGCTCATCATCTGGAAGACCTGGCTGTGCACGAGATCAAGCACACATCGGACTGTATTCTCCTGCAAGACTGCGCGCGGTTACCCTCTCATCCAAAGCTTCTCTCACTGGGTGACCGAAGCAATGTGTCGAATGTTTTTGCAGGAAATCTGTCAAGTCTTTTCGAATTTACTCTGTGTGTTATACACCCAACAATTTCCTTTTATATTATGTTGTTTGATCCTAACGTTTTTATATTATCTTAACTATGACTGTAAAAGCTTCATTAGTGTCTGACATGTCCGAGGTGATTGATCGCATGCTGAAAAATAACAGACGCCGGTTGCTCGTGGCAAATGCGACGTGCCACTTCACATCTGTGTGAAACGTTCCATATATTTTCAAGTGTTCATTTTCAAATGGCATGCCACGGGTGACGTGCCACCTTGGTGTGAAAGCGACCCTAATGCTGGATAAACCTATCCGCAGACACCCCGAACAATGATGTTATGAGAACGTAGTCTTCTGACTTGTCTCATGTAGACTTGTCTCTAATAATCACCCACAACTTCCCCTTTGACGAGCTGCTTTGCTCCCCGGGCCTCCAGGTCACCACGCCATGCTCGAGGAGGACGAGTGCCACTCCCATGAGACGGGGAAGCGGTGGCCTGGCCATGCCCCTTATTTGGATGCCACGGTACTGCAAATGTCTCAAAGGCGTGAAGTGTGTACAAAGGATAAACAAATAAAGGATAAAAGCGGAGGGTAACCACGGCCATTTCTGCACATGGGGTAATTTAGAAGCAAAATAGAACTAGCCAAACCAAGAATATCCATTGCAACAAATGGGATAAAAACTAAACTAAAAAAACCTAAATTGATTAGAATTAATAAAAAATAGCAATAACTGAATCCAGAAGCTGCAAGTAGAGTGATGCATGCAAAGATAAAATAAATCCAACTCACTTTGGGAAATACTGGGACAGTCAAGAGAAAAAGTGTCGTTCGACTCTATTTCAAAATAGTTTGTATGGTTGTTGCATATCCTTTCTCCAGAAACTTCAACACAGAACTTGATGCCTGCGGGAAACAAGTATGAACTGAGCATCTCTGTGTATCTGATCCTTTTATCTTTGCATTTATTTATCTACAACACACGCATGCACACCCATGCACAAATAAATACACACGTACACACACACATACATACACGTACACACATGCCTGCACATATACATACAAACCCATACATACATACACACAGACACGCACACGTACACACACACACACAAGCACATACAAACACACACGTACATATACACATACATATATGCACACATACACATATACATGTACATATACACATACAAGCACGCATATAACGATGCAGGTAGGCAGGCAGGCAGGCACGTCCTCTTTTACACACACAGACATACGTAGATGCAACATCCGAGGAGACGAATCTGCGCGGCTGGCCTTACCGTCATCCCACAAGCGGATCTGGAGTTGCGTCGTGAGGTTGACCGACTCAGATTTTCCTCCAAACTTCAGAAGTACTTTGGAGGTTCCATTCGCCTTCGGTCCGACGTATAAGGTTTGGTTCGTGTCCTCAATAGGAAGGGTCAATAAGGTTCGGTTCATGCCTTCAGAGGGATAATAGATAATAGTTCCAAGAACGCGATAATCGGAGCAGCCTGTGGGAGGAAAGGCCAGGGGGCGCTGAGTGAGCTCTCAATAGCTATCTATCTTAATTGTTGCATTTCAGTTTGCTGTAATCTTGCCACATATTACAAAATCTACCGGGCAGCGGGAAGAGGTTCAAGAGGGTAGGGGGGCAGGAAGGGGTTCAAGAGGGTAGGAGGGCAGGAAGGGGTTCAAGAGGGTAGGAGGGCAGGAAGGGGTTCAAGAGGGTAGGGGGGCAGGAAGGGGTTCAAGAGGGTAGGGGGGCAGGAAGGGGTTCAGGAGGGAGAGGGGCGACTCTAGAGGCAAATGAGCTTCAGCGGCCTCCCCTCCCTTATTTTTTCCTTTCGCTTTCTCTTCCCCACTCCCTCTTTCTTCCTCTACCTCCTTTCCTCTCTTTTTTCTGCCTCTCCTTTCACTCCTCTCTCTTCTTCCTTTCTCCCTTTGCATCCTCTCTCTCCCTCTTTTTCCTCAACCTATCTTTTTCTTCTCTTTCCTTTCTCTCCCAATCTTCTCGCCATGCCCCTCATAAACCGGAAATGTCGTCTCAAAGAACACGAGCGCCGCTTACTTATTGAAAAGGAACGGAAGAATCTCTCGCCTGAGAAGAGAAAACACATGAGTTATGCAGAGTAATGCACAGTAAATACGCCCGCTTAGCTTAGTTTGTGTAGTCCCTTTGAGAGGTCTGCCATGGCGCGAGAGGGACGTACCTTGACCCGGGGACAGAGAGAGCAGGCCGACCAGGAGCAAGAGCCTCAGATCAGACATCTTGAAACAACGCTTCGCTGGCTATGACTGACAATGCCTGGGGCAGACACAGCCCTTCATTTCCGAGAGATAAACAAATATTTTATTTATCTTCATTGGAGAGCAGATATTATAATTAGTTGATGTTCATTAAGAAGATCAAACCTATCGAGTTGTGTGTTTATCGGAGTGATTTCCTTGCTCCTCCTCGCATGCTGCAATCATCACATGCACCTTACTATAAATATATAAATATATACATATGTATTATATATATAATTTATATATATATTATATATAGAGAGAGAAAGAGAGAGACAGGCATATATATACACATTATATATATATGTATATCTATGTATATATACACATATGTATGTGTGTAGATAAATAGATATATAAATATACATATATATATAAATATATATATATATATATATATATATATATATATATATATATATTTCTGTGTGTGTGAATAAATATATATATATACAAAATAAATACATACACACACATATATACACATATGTGTGTATGTACATATATATATGCATATTTCATTGTGTATTTTCATTCATTTGGAGTTCATCTCTCGAGACTGAGAATCTTCAAAGGGGGAATCAAGGAATGACGTGATAACATTTAGTAGAAATCGTTGCAGTGCTTTCCTATTTTTTTGCTGCTCATCCTTAAAGAAATGGTGCCATAGCTTAAAATCAGACACAGGCAAATCAGTCTATACATTTTTATTTGGTATGCCTTTTACTCAAGGAATCTAAAGAAAGGATATACTTCTTACACAAATTCAAATATATAAAAATATACTGTAATACAATATAAAAGAAGTTTCTTGGCAATATCACAAACCTAATAAAAATAGTCATTCTAAAGTACTTAGATTAAGTAATGCTAGGCCTACATCATATGGCTTCAAACAAAATCATAGTCTGTATCTTAATGAAACATCACAGAATATAAACATGGAACCAATGCATCTTCATGATCCATATCAAGGAACTGAAGCGATTCAGTGCTAAACAAAAATGGACAGGTATTCCATTGCATCTCATTAATAAACCTAAACATTTTTAGCTGAATCCAGAGGCTGTCGAAATGGCATTCGAAAAGGCTTGTGTGTGCCTCTGGAGGCTGGAGATTTCAGTGACCGCAGTGCTGATGGCGTTCCGTAGCTTCCCAGTACCTTGAACTTGCTGCGTATTTCCCTGGAACGTTGCTGCAGTCTGCTGAGACCTGTGCTTGGAGTGCCGTCTTTGTGCTCTCTTTGGTAATCTCCCTGTGCATTCTCGGGAGCAGTTGCTCCTTGTCCATTCTCCCGGCCTACCCTGCTCTGCTCACGGGATAGGGAAGTCCCTCCCTCAGGTGAGACTCTTTTACTAAACTGGCCGTCCAGCTTCATATCTCCCTCGCACAGAAGAATCTTCATATTCTGCTATAAAAAATAATGTTACTATTTGTTTATCAGTTTTAACTGTACATAACTGAATCATGGATTTTTTAAAATATAGGAATTATATATATACATATATATGTGCATGTATATATGCACATATATATATGCATATACATTCACTCATATATTATATATTTATATATATGTATATATATTCATATACATATATAAACAAACACATACACATATATATACATATATATCTACATATACCTATCTGTCTACACACACATATATACACATATGCATACATATATAATCATATACATACCCACACACACGCGCACATACACACATATATGTATATATATATCATACACACATCACACACACACCCATATATATGTATATATATCCATATATACATATATGCATATATATATCCATATACATATCTAATACGGTGTGGTCATTGTTTCGCCGCCGGATCTCAACATTGTCTATTCGTCCGGCGTGCAAACGCATCAACACTTTGCGCACGAACATACTTTCACGCTTGCGCATTTTCTTCAAATCAAACTTTGGCGCTGTTTTTGTGTCGGTTGTGGTGTGTGGCGATGGATCGACAGTGGATTGTTTCAAAGTGCTGCTGCCGTAGGTCTTCAGCACAGGCGCCCGACAGAAAATGCCGGTAAAATAACCCAGCAGACACCGACGACGAAGCTCGAGTGAAACGTAGAAAACACTATCATTGCATGTGCGCAAGCGTGAAAGTATGTTCGTGCACAAAGAGTTGGTGCGCAGTTTCAGAAATATATGTTACGCAAGGTTATGGAGGTGTAATCCAGGAATATGTAATGAAAAAAAAAAAAAAAATAAATAAATAAATAAATAACTACATTATTTTGCCATTAATAGCAAAAGATAAAATTCCGAACAAGTCCACATGTTCGCGATGTTTACTTCCCGCGTTTTTGGTTCGCACGGGGAAGTGACGTCACATTTTCTTATTCTAGACATATACCAATATGTTTCAATGGAAACGTTGATTTATTTCCAAATGACTTATTTTTATGAAATGATCTTACTAATTCTTTCGAGATTATATAAGAAAAGTAAATGTGCTATCAGTGATGAAATTTTGACCCATGTGACGAGATGTAAAGAACACATCCCACATACATACACATGACCATACGCACGCACACACACATACATTTTTGTATATATCTATATAAACATGTCTATATATATAAATCTATTTGCATATGTTTGCATGTATGTATCTATACATACATATATATCTATATTTAGTATATATATAAGCATGTTTTTATATGTGTATGTTTATATATATCCAAATATATATACATAAATATACGTATATATGTATAGATGTATTATATAAATATATATAGTTATAAATACGTATGTATTTAGTATATGCATATGTATCTACATCTGTGTCTATTTATCTCTGTCCATCTATATATGTGTATATATATACATATATACACATATTCTCTCTCTCTATATATATTATTATATATATACATATATATGTATACATATATATACATACACATCAGGCCACTACACCTGCGTTTCTAGTGACAAGGAAACAAACTTGGCGTGAAATCGACATTTATTGTCAGTTGCTTAAAGCCTGATGGCAAATGATCCATCATTGATACGTGGCGGCATGGCAGCGTATATAACAGAAGACCACACATGAGATATGCATCTTAAAGTAAACATGGCAACGGCTCATGTCAGTGCCGATCTGGCGGCTGGACAGGAAAAAAACTCCACGGCCACGGTCGCGAGGTGGCGGGAACCTTGGTTGTGGCGCAGATTCCAGTCACCTCGAAACAACCTTTGGCCAATGAGTGGAAAAAAACTGTCCAGATGTTCGTAATAAAGCCAGTGAAAGCCAGTCGGCAAGGACAGCGCACGGGCAAATAGTGTGTGGAGTCGGCCACATGTGGTAACCATCTCGGGAACATCTATTTGTGACGTCATGTGATGGTTTCCGTTCCACACACAGGACTTCCCGCTGTGTGACTGTCCTGTGCGGGATGGCCATGCGCTGCTCCCTGTACCGGCGACTGCATTCAGCACCTGTCGTCGACCAGGCCCGCCAGGGTATCGTCTCAGTCTGAAATGCACATAGATTGGCAAACGACTGACACACACAGCCAGACAACATGAGATTGAGTGAGAACATTTCCTTATACATTCGAGTTTTTTTTGTTGTCTTTTATTTGTTTTTGCTTAAGTAAAACATATGAAGCATTCGCTCTACCTCTCTGCAAACGCCGACGCTGAGCATAAAATTCGGGTCAAAGGTCAGCATAGGTCATCATCAAGGACAGTGTCAGCGCGATTTTCTGACGCCACTCACCGCGGTTTCGTCCTTTCGCCTTGGCTGCAGGAGACATTGAGGTGAAGCTGGAAAGGGAATAGAAGAATTGCATTCGTTGAAGATGAATAAATAAATAGATCAAAAACAAATAAGGGACAATCCAATCACCCATATTATCTATTCTCTTCTATCATCGCGATCAAATTTCAGTGTAACCAGCGATATTAATCAGCATCTGTTGTACATGGTTTAATGGTCACACTATTCCTTCCAGCTTTGTGGTGAGTGCTGCACATTGTGATAATCATAAACTCAATAAAAGTGAAATGAAAACCGTACATGTGAGATTTCTTAAGTTTGTTCGATACCGGCAATAGCCCTGCACAAGATCGCACTGTGCCACTATTTCCCCCCTTTCCCTTTCGGCGCACTATTTCAATCCTTATCAGCTTAAACGACAGTCATTCGCATATTTCATTCCTAAGTTACCTCCACGTTGGTTGGGCTTCATGCAGCAGGTGTAACTCAGCGCAGATTTGCGAGTCAAGGTGGCTAAGAGCCTAGGAGGTGCTGGCGAATGAGGACCTGAAACGAATCTCTTCGGAAATCTGATGTCAGTAGGGTAAGCCTATGAGAAAAAATGTAAATCAGAATGCAGTTCATTTGATGTCAATAGCAGTTCGAAGTCAATTCAATAAGATCAACGTCGCGACTTATAGAGATATACAAGCACTCGCCTACCTGGATGGGGAGGATGGATTTCTTTTGGCTGTGATCGGGAATCAAACCTTGCCAAAATCTGAAGACGTTGCTCATTGGAGGCGCAGAACCTGGAAATCTGAAATCTGGCTGAAAATTGTACATCTACACGGAAATAACTGTCGATCTTACATTGCCGACAAACTTGCAACCCCTTAAATGCTGGAGGGCTGGTTCGGCCCTTTCCAGAGAAGAAAGCGTGAAACATCGCAAACACTGGACGATTTTCACACATACAAAAAAAAATCCCGATCATATTCTCTTACCTCAGGAATAATGAACGGAAAATACCACTCTTTGCCAATACTGTCTGCCCAATCAACACCCTCAAAAAGTAAAGGTACCGCATGGGGACCGTATGCATTCCTCAACCTCAGTAAAGACTGTCATTCCGTAAAAAAACTTGTATCATTACTTTCAACTTTTTTTACAATTTTGAACCTCGTTTGGAAATTCCCCTGACGCCATTCTGGGCCCAAACCCAAGAGAGAGGGAAGGAACGCAACCATACGACGCATGTGGGAGGTCACGCAGCTGTGTGATAGCACAGCTTCGTAATACAACAGTTGGCTTTCGCCATCATCAGAAGCAACATTGAAAACAAAATATACCTTTGGCCGGTCTACGTACTCTACCTTTAATTGTCACACTTAGAAAGGGATAAGGACAAGTCCGATATGCGAAGCTGAGACTCGCCCGGGTTATGAGGGGAGCCCGGCCTGTGCCGACTAATGTCGACTCGCTAACAGTGTGTCAGCTGGTGCTGACTCGGCTTTTGTCCTTACCCGCCGTGGTGCCCAGCCACAGCAGTAATCCCCACGCGACAATTGCAACTTCTCGCACCTGGGCGGGGCGCGAACCGCCGACCCCTCGGATAAGAAGCCCACACGTTATAACTGTACTAGCCTGGAGGTTCTATAGTAAGGGAAAGGTCTTACTGCTTTTATCACCATCGACTGCTGAGATGCTGCTCGGGCTGGTGGGGGCAACGTCTTTCTATTGAAGATTAGCGCCGCTAGCTATATGTGCATATATATATATGCACATACACACATATATATATGTATGTATCTGTGTATATATATATATATACATACACCTTTATATATATAAATATATGTTTCTATATATCTTTCTATGTATATACAAAGGTTATATATATATACGTATGTGTATATATATGGGTATATATGTATATATATACACATTGTTTACATTCGAGCCGTCACAGATGCGGTGTTTGACGGCTACTAGGCGCCATGTTGAAATCATGAAATCATGGGTCTTTTTATACCGGGGTGGCTGACCCATGATCCTTACCTAATATATGCAAATCCGCATGTGTGGGTGTGCATGAATGCCCACACGCACGCACGCATACACACATGTATAAATACACATACAAAAATACATATATATAATTTATTCCTATATATACATATATATATAGATAGACAAAGAGAGAGCGCGAGAGGTACATATTGTATATATATGCATATCGATAAAGGTAGATAGAAAGATAATATATATAATATATATATAGAATATACACACGCAGATACACACATTTATATATACATATATATAAATATATAAATACATACACTCACACAAACATATATAATATATATATATTATATATTTACATACATAAATATAATATATCTGCATATATATGTGTATACATATATATACATATATTTATAATATATATATATGCACAGAAACACACACATACTCAAATATATATATACTTTATTTATATACATATACATACTATATATATACACACTACATATATGTGTATATATAATATACATATACATATATATGTATATATATACTATATATATAATGCATACGCACACGCACACATATATATGCATATATATATGTATAAATATTTATGTATATGTACGTATATATATACCTAAATTTACATATATTTACATATATATACATACTTATATGCACACACACAAATATATATATACATACCAGTTAACCCTTCTCACTAGTCTGGAGCAATCCTTCCAAGGATCCCCCTGGCACTGCCCTCGGGGTTCACCGTCACCGGCGAGGGGACTCGAGTGAGCAGCCCAGAACCAAAGACAAGTGACCAAGAGGCTCGAAAGACATCTCGAGCCAGTTGACTCTCGCAAAAGGGGAGCGAAGCAGCGGCGGCGACGCACGTTTTCGGCAGGAAAGAAGGTGGAGCAACCAGGCGACATTTCGCGGTCCAGCAGTAGAAAGGAGCAAGGGGTCGCGAGAAGCAGATGGTGCATTCAGCGTAAAGGAGCTGTGGATAGTTGGCCTTAGAGAGCAACAGCCAGGGCGTAGAAGTAGGCCAGGAGAAGAGTAGGCGGTGACCCCAGCCTCGAACGGTGCAGGATAGTTTCCCCGGACGGATTCTGGTCAGGGGGTGAGCCTCTCCTCCCTGGCACGTGCGATATGTACCTGCTTTGGTGCACGATTATGCTTTTTCTCGACAATGAACCAATCAACATAACATTTGTACTAACTGTGGGAAAATACAAATGTTTTAGAGATACAACGTTACCTCAGTACAATAACAATACTCCCCATGGAAGAATTATCAAAATGTTTTGTTTGTGAATAAAATCCTTGGAAGTATTTTCAGGGTATTGGAACAAGTTAAGCTCACATTCTGCCGGATGACGGCATTTTGTGCACCGAGTAACATGCGCCACATGTAACATTGGTCTGAAAGCACCATGTCACGTGTCATTTACCACTTGCTGCGTGCAAAGTACCACCTTGGTATGAAAGCGGCTTGACTTTGTTCTGAAGTGGCAAACAGCAGGTGGTGTCAACTGAAACGTGATTCCAGACCTAGGTTGCACGTGGCGCGTGTCAGACCGCTTTCACTCGGTTCACAAGATATATATATTTATCTGTCACTTGGTGGAGGACTTTGGGGCAGAATGTGTGGCACTTGTTCCATATCCCCTTCTCTCTCTGTCCAGGGTGTAGGCGGAGTGACCCCTAAGGTGTAACTACTACACATAAGTGTTGGGTAGCAGAAGCAGCAACATATTTGTTGGAGAATGAGATCACTGATGCAAAATTCGAAACAAAGCATTGAACTATTCCCTGAAAAAGCTTTTACGGACTTTTTTCTCTCAAACAAAATGTTTGGATAATTCCACCACGGAGAGTATTGTCACAGAACTGAGTAGATGTTTCATGATACAAACATTTGTATTTCCTCACAGTTTGTCCAAATGCGTTGATTGGCTCATCATCTGAAAGAGGCCTGACTGTGCACGAGACTGTATTCTCCTGCAAGACTGCGCGCGGTTACCCTCTCATCCAAAGCCTCTCTCACTGGGTAACCGAAGCAATGTGTCAAATGTTTTTGCAGGAAATTTCGAATTTACTCTATGTATGTTATACACCCAACAATTTCCTTTTATATTATGTTGTTTGATCTTAACGTTTTTATATTATCTTAACTATGACTGTAAAAGTTTCATTAGTATCTGACATGTCCGAGGTGATTGATCGCATGCTGAAAAATAACAGACGCCGGTTGCTCGTGGCAAATGCGACGTACTTCACATCTATTTTCGTGTTCATTTTCAAATGGCATGCCACGGGTGACGTGCCACCTTGGTGTGAAAGCGACCCTAATGCAGGATAAACCTATCCGCAGACACCCCGAACAATGATGTTATGAGAACGTAGTCTTCTGACTTGTCTTATGTAGACTTGTCTCTAATAATCACCCACAACTTCCCCTTTGACGAGCTGCTTTGCTCCCCGGGCCTCCAGGTCACCACGCCATGCTCGAGGAGGACGAGTGCCACTCCCATGAGACGGGGAAGCGGTGGCCTGGCCATGCCCCTAATTTGGATGCCACGGCGCTGCAAATGTCTCAAAGGCGTGAAGTGTGTATAGAGGATAAACAAACAAAGGATAAAAGCGGAGGGTAACCACGGCCATTTCTTGTGCACAGGGGGTAATTTAGAAGCAAAATAGAACAAGCCAAACCAAAAATATCTATTGCAACAAATGGGATAAAAACTAAATTTAAAAAACTAAATTAATAATAAAAAAAAGCAATAACTGAATACAGGAGCTGCAAATAGAGCATGCAAAGATAAAATAAATCCAACTCACTTTGGGAATCACTGGGACAGTCAAAAGACAACACCAAAGTGCTGTTCGACTGTATTACATAATGTGGTTCCTGGGTTTTGCATTTCTTTTTTCTACAAGCTTTGAATTTGACGCCTGCGAAAAACAAGTATGAACTGAGTATCTCTGCGTATCTGATCCTCTTATCTGTGCATTTATCTACAACACACGTACGCACACCCATGCACACGCGAGCACACACACACATATACACACGTACACACACACACACATGCCTGCGCATATACATACAAACCCATACATACATACACACATACACACACGTACACGTACTCACATACATACATATGTACTACACACGCACACGAATCTGCGCGGCTGGCCTTACCGCCCTTCCACAAGTCGATCCGGAGTTGCGTCGTGAGGTTGGCGGACCTAATTTTTTTTCCATACGTCAGAATTACTTTGAAGGTTCCATTCGCGTTGACGTATAAGGTGTCGTTCGTGTTCTCAGTGGGAAGGATGGTGAATAAGGTTCGTTTCCTGCCGTCAGAGGGAAAAGATTCTCCTCGAAAGCGATAATCAGAGCATTCTGTGGGAGGAAAGCCAGGGGGCGCTGAGTGATTTCTCCATAGCTATCTTAATTGTTGCATTTCAGTTTGCTGTAATCTTGCCACATATAACAAAATCTACCGAGCAGCGGGAAGGGGTTCAAGAGGGTTGAAGAGCAGGAAGGGGTTCAAGAGGGAGATGGGCGGCGCTAGAGCCATATGAGCTTCAGCGGCCTCCCCTCTCTTATTTTTTTCCTTTCGCTTTCTCTTCCCCACTCCCTCTTTCATCCTCTTCCTCCTTTCCTCTCTTCTTTCTGCCTCCCCTTTTACAGCTCTTTTTTCTTCCTTTCTCCCTTTCATCCTCTATCTCCCTTTCTCCGTCCCTCTGCTTTTTCCTCAACCTATCTTTTTCTCCTGTTTCCCTTCTCTTCCATTCTTCTCGCCATGCCCCTCATAAACCGGAAATGTCGCCTCAAAGAACACGAGCGCCGCTTACTTTTTGGATAGACTTTGTGGATTTTCTTGCCTGAGAAGAGAAAGCACTTGAGTTATGCAGAGTAATGCACAGTAAATACGCCCGCTGTAGCCCCTTTGAGAAGTTTTCCATGGCGCGAAAGGGACGTACCTAGAAACGCAGACAGGGGCAGAGAGAACAGGCTGACCAGGAGCAAGAGCCTCAGATCAGACATCTTGAAACAACGCTGCACTGGCTATGACTGACAATTCCTGGGGCAGGCACAGCCCTTCATTTCCGAGAGATAAACAAATATTTTATTTATCATCATTGGAGAGCAGATATTATAATTAGTTGATGCTCATTAAGAAGATCAAACGTATCGAGTTGTATGTTTATCGGAGTGATTTCCTTGCTCCTCCTCGCATGCTGTAATCATCACATGCACCTTACTATAAATATATAAATATATATATATATGTATTATATATATAATTTATATATATATATTATATATAGAGAGAGAAAGAGAGAGACAGGCATATATATACACATTATATATAAATATGTATATCTATGTATATATACACATATGTATGTGTGTAGATAAATACATATATGAATATAATATATATATATAAATATATATATATATATATATATTTCTGTGTGTGTGAATAAATATATATATACATAATAAATACATACACACACACATATATACACATATGTGTGTGTATGAATATATATATGCATATTTCATTGTGTATTTTCATTCATTTGGAATTCATCTCTCGAGACAGAGAATCTTCAAAGGGGGAATCAAGGAATGACATGATAACATTTAGTAAAAAGCGTTGCAGTGCTCTCCTATTTTTTTGCTACTCACCCTTAAAGAAATGGTGCCATAGCTTAAAATCAGACACAGGCAAATCAGTCTATACATTTTTATTTGGTATGCCTTTTACTCAAGGAATCTAAAGAAAGGATATACTTCTTACACAAATTCAAATATATAAAAATATACTGTAATACAATAAAAAGAAGTTTCTTGGCAATATCACAAACCTAATAAAAATAGTCATTCTAAAGTACTTAGATTAAGTAATGCTAGGCCTACATCATATGGCTTCAAACAAAATCACAGTCTGTATCTTAATGAAACATCACAGAATATAAACAGGGAACCAATGCAATTTCATGATCCATATCAAGGAACTGAAGCAATTCAGTGCCAAACAAAAATGGACAGGTATTCCATTGCATCTCATTAATAAACCTAACCATTTTTAGCTGAATCCAGAGGCTGTCGAAATGGCATTCGAAAAGGCTTGTGTGTGCCTCTGGAGGCTGGAGATTTCAGTGACCGCAGTGCTGATGGCGTTCCGTAGCTTCCCAGTGCCTTGAACTTGCTGCGTATTTCCCTGGAACGTTGCTGCAGTCTGCTGAGACCTGTGCTTGGAGTGCCGTCTTTGTGCTCTCTTTGGTAATCTCCCTGTGCATTCTCGGGAGCAGTTGCTCTTTGTCCATTCTCCCGGCCTACCCTGCTCTGCTCACGGGATGGGGAAGTCCCTCCCTCAGGTGAGACTCTTTCACTAAATTGGCCGTCCAACTACATATCTCCCTCGCACAGAAGAGTTCATATTCTGCTATAAAAAAAATAATGTTACTATTTGTTTATCAATTTTAACTGTACAGAACTGAATCATGGATTTCTTTAAATATAGGAATTATATATATACATATATGTGTGTATATATGCACACATATATATGTATATTATTTATTCTCTTCTATCATCGCGATCGAATTTCAGTGTAACTAGCGATATTAATCAGCATCTGTTGTACATGGTTTAATGATCACGATATTCCTTCCAGTTTTGTGGTGAGTGCTGCACATTGTGATAATCATAAACTCAGTAAAAGTGAAATGAAAACCGTACATGTGAGAGATTTCTTAAGCTTGTTCGATATCAAGCTTAAACGACAGTCATTCGCATATCTCATTCCTAAGTTACCTCCACGTTGGTTGGGCTTCATGCAGCAGGTGTAACTCAGCGCAGATTTGCGAGTCAAGGTGGCTAAGAGCCTAGGAGGTGCTGGCGAATGAGGACATGAAACGAATCTCTTCGGAAATCTGATGTCAGTAGGGTAAGCCTATGAGAAAAAATGTAAATCAGAATGCAGTTTATTTGATGTCAATAGCAGTTCGAAGTCAATTCAATAAGAGCATCGTCGCGACTTACAGATATACAAGCACTCGCCTACCTGGATGGGGAGGATGGATTTCTTTTGGCTGTGATCGGGAATCAAACCTTGCCAAAATCTGAAGACATTGCTCATTGGAGGCGCAGAACCTGGAAATCTGAAATCTGGCTGAAAATTGTACATCTACACGGAAATAACTGTCGATCTTACATTGCCGACAAACTTGCAAGCCCTTAAATGCTGGAGGGCTGGTTCGGCCCTTTCCAGAGAAGAAGGCGTGAAACATCGCAAACACTGGACGATTTTCACACATACAAAAAAATCCCGATCTCATTCTCTTACCTCAGGAATAATGAACGGAAAATACCACTCTTTGCCAATACTGTCTGCCCAATCAACACCCTCAAAAAGAAAAGGTACCGCATGGGGACCGTGTGCATTCCTCCACCTCAGTAAAGACTGTCATTCCGTAAAAAAAACTATTATTACTTTCAATTTTTTTTACACTGGAAATTCTCCTGACGCCATTCTGGGCCCAAACCCAAGAGAGAGGGAAGGAACGCGACCATGCGACCAATGCGGGAGGTCACACAGCTGTTTGATAGCGCAGTTTCGTAAAACAACAGTTGGTTTTCGCCATCATCAGAAGCAACATTAAAACAAAATATACCTTTGGCCGGTCTACGCACCATACCTTCAATTGTCACACTTAGAAAGGGATAAGGGTAAGTCCGATATGCGAAGCTGAGCCTCGCCCGGGTTATGATTGGAACCCGGCCTCTGTAGACTTGTTGACAGTGTGTCAGTTAGTGCTGACTCGGCTTAGTCCTTACCCGCCGTGGTGTCCAGAAAGGTCTTACTGCTTTTATCACCATCGACTGCTGAGATGCTGCTCGGGCTGGTGTGGGCAACGTCTTCCGGGGGACCGCTCGCTGCAAGAAACATTTCTGGAGAAGATTAGCGCCACTAGCTGTATGTGAATATATGTATGCACATACACATATATATGTATGTGTGTGCATATATACATAAACATATACATATACATATACATATATGTGTGTATGTTTCTATATATTTTTCTATCTATATATGTAAAGATTACATATATATACGTATGTGTATATATATGGGTATATATGTATATATATAAACATTGTTTACATTCGTGCCGTCACAGATGCGGTGTTTGACTACTAGGCGCCATGTTGAAATCATGAAATCATGGGTCTTTTTATACCGGGGTGGCTGACCCATGATCCTTACCTAATATATGCAAATCCGCATGTGTGGGTGTGCATGAATGCCCACACGCACGCACACATACACATATTCCTATATATACATTTATATAGATAGACAAAGAGAGAGCGCGAGAGGTACTTATTGTATATGTATGCATATATATAAAGATAGATAGAAAGATAATATATATATATATAGAATATACACACGCAGACACACATATATATACATATATATAAATATATATACATACTCACACTCACACATATATATAATATATATATACATATGCATATATATATAGTATATATGCATATATATATGTGTATACATATATATACATATATTTATAATATATATACGCACACAAACACACACATACACAAATATATATATACTTTATATATATATACAGATACATATATGTATATATATATAATATATGTATATATATATAATATATATATACATATATATGTATATATATACTATATATAATTTAAACACACACATACACACATATATATGCATATATATATATAAATATGTATGTATATGTATATGTATGTATATATATATACATATATTTATAATATATATATATATATGCACACAAACACACACACATACACAAATATATATGTAATTTATATATATACACATATATACTATATATATACATACATATGTGTATATATATACATATATATGTATATATATACTATATATATAATGTATACATACACGCACACACATATATGCATATATATGTATATGTATGTATATATATACTTATATTTATATACATATATATACATATATATGTATATACATACTTATATGCACACACACACAAATATATATATAAATACCAGTTAACCCTTCTCACTAGTCTGGAGCAATCCTTCCAAGGATCCCCCTGGCACTGCCCTCGGGGTTCACCGTCACCGGCGAGGGGACTCGAGTGAGCGGCCCGGAACCAAAGACAAGTGACCAAGAGGCTCGAAAGATATCTCGAGCCAGTTGACTCTCGCAAAAGGGGAGCGAAGCAGCGGCGGCGACGCACGTTTTCGGCAGGAAAGAAGGTGGAGCAACCAGGCGACAGCTCGTGGTCCAGCAGTAGAAAGGAGCAAGGGGTCGCGAGAAGCAGATGGCGCATTCAGCGTAAAAGGAGCCTTAGAGAGCAACAGCCAGGGCGTAGAAGCAGGCCAAGGAGAAGTGTAGGCGGTGACCCAGCCTCGAACGGTGCAGGATAGTTTCCCCGGACGGATTCTGGTCAGGGGGTGAGCCTCTCCTCCCTGGCACATGCGATATGTGCCTGCTTTCGTGCACGATTAAGCTTTTCACAGACAATGAACCAATCAACATAACATTTGTACAAACTGTGTGGAAATACAAATAACAATACTCCCCATGGAAGAATTATCAAAATGTTTTTTTTTTTGTGTGTGTGAAAAACTCCTTGGAAGTATAACATTGGTCTGAAAGCACCTTGTCACATGTCATTAACCACTTGCCGCGTGCAAAGTGCCACCTTGATATGAAAGCGGCTTGACCTTGTCCTGAAGTGGCAAACAGCAGGTGGTGTCAACTGAAAAGTGATTTCAGACCTAGGTTGCACGTGGCGCGTGTTAGACCGTTTTCACTCGGTTCACAATATATATATATATTTATCTGTCACTTGGTGGAGGACTTTGGGGCAGAATGTGTGGCACTTGTTCCATACCCCCTTCTCTCTCTGTCCAGGGTGTAGGCGGAGTGACCCCTAAGGTGTAACTACTACACATAAGTGTTGGGTAGCAGAAGCAGCAACATATTTGTTGGAGAATGAGATCACTGAAACAAAATTCGAAACAAAGCACTGAACTATTACCTGAAAATGCTTATGTTTTTTTTTTTTTTTCACAAACAAAATATTGGGATAATTCCACCACGGAAAGTATCGTCACAGAACTGAGTAGATGTTTCATCATACATTTGTATTTCCTCACAGTTTGTACAAATGTGTTGATTGGCTCATTATCTGGAAGAGGCCTGACTGTTCACGAGATCAAGCACACATCGGACTGTATTCTCCTGCAAAACTGCGCGCGGTTACCCTCTCATCCAAAGCTTCTCTCACTGGGTGACCGAAGCAATGTGTCAAATGTTTTTGCAGGAAATCTGTCAAGTCATTTCGAATTTACTCTATGTATGTTATACACCCAACAATTTCCTTTTTGTTTGATCTTAACGTTTTTATATTATTTGAACTATGAAGCTTCATTAGTATCTGACATGTCCGAGGTGATTGATCGCATGCTGAAAAATAACCGGTTGCTCGTGGCAAATGCGACGTGCCACTTCACATCTGTGTGCAAACACCCCGAACAATGATGTTATGAGAACGTAGTCTACTGACTTGTCTTATGTAGACTTGTCTCTAATAATCACCCACAACTTCCCCTTTGACGAGCTGCTTTGCTCCCCGGGCCATGCTCGAGGAGGACGAGTGCCACTCCCATGAGACGGGGAAGCGGTGGCTTGGCCATGCCCCTTATTTGGATGCCACGGCGCTGCAAATGTCTCAAAGGCGTGAAATGTGCACAAAGGATAAACAAATAAAGGATAAAAGCGGAGGGTAACCATGGCCATTTCTTGTGCACAGGGGGTAATTTAGAAACAAAATAGAACAAGCCAAACCAAGAATATCCATTGCAACAATTGGGTTAAAAACGAAACTTAAAAAGCTAAATTAAAACAAAAAATAGCAATAACTGAATCCAGGAGCTGGAAATGGAGTGATACATGCAACGATAAAATAAATCCAACTCACTTTGGGAAATACTGGGACACTCAATAGACAACACCAAAGTGCTGTTCGACTGCATTTTAAAATAGCTTTTCCTTTTTTCAGGAGTAACGAATCTGACACCTGCGAGAAACAAGTATGAACTGAGTATCTCTGCGTATCTGATCCTCTTATCTGTGCATTTATTTATCTACCACACACGCACTCACACCCATGCACACGCGAGCACACACACGCACACACACACACACATACATACACATACACACACACACACATACATACACATACACACACACACACATACATACACATACACACACACACACATACATACACATACACACACACACACACATACATACACATACACACACACACACACATACATACACATACACACACACACATGCCTGCGCATATACGTACAAACCCATACATACACACACGTACACGTACTCACATACATACATACGTACTACACTCGCACACGAATCTGCGCGGCTGGCCTTACCGTCCTTCCTCAAGTCGATCTGGAGTTGCGTCGTGAGGTTGACCGACTCAGATTTTCCTCCAAACATCAGAAGTATTTTGGAGGGTCCATTCCCCTTCGGTCCGACGTATAAGACTTGGTCCGTGTTCTTAATTTCAAGGGTCAGTAAGGTCATGTTCGTGCCTTTAGGGGGAAAATAGGTTCCTTGAACGCGATAACCAGAGCAGTCTGCGGGAGGAAAGGCCAGGGGGCGCTGAGTGATTTCTCCATAGCTATCTTAATTGTTGCATTTCAGTTTGCTGTAATTTTGCCACATATTACAAAATCTAGAGGTTCAGGAGGGTAGGAGGGCAGGAAGGGGTTGAAGAGGGTAGGAGGGCAGGAAGGGGTTGAAGAGGGTAGGGGGCAGGAAGGGGTTCAAGAGGGTAAGGGGCAGGAAGGGGTTCAAGAGGGTAGGGGGGCAGGAAGGGGTTCAAGAGGGAGATGGGCGACTCTAGAGCCGTATGAGCTTCAGCGGCCTGCCCTCTCTTATTTTTTCCTTTCGCTTTCTCTTCCCCACTCCCTCTTTCTTCCTCTTCCTCCTTTCCTCTCTTCTTCCTGCCTCCCCTTTCACTCCTCTCTCTTCCTTCATCCGCTTTCCCACTCTCTCCCCTTTCATCTTCTATTTCCCTTTCTCCGTCCCTCTTCTTTTTCCTCAACCTATCTTTTTCTACTCTTTCCCTTCTCTTCTTCCAATCTTCTCGACATGCCCCTCATAAACCAGAAATGTCGCCTCAAAGAACACGAGCGCCGCTTACGTATTGGGTAGGTAATGTTGAATCCCTCGCCTGAGAAGAGAAAACACTTGAGTTATGCAGAGTAATGCACAGTAAATACGCCCGCTTAGCTTAGTTTGTGTAGTCCCTTTGAGAGGTCTGCCATGGCGCGAGAGGGACGTACCTTGACCCGGGGACAGAGAGAGCAGGCCGACCAGGAGCAAGAGCCTCAGATCAGACATCTTGAAACAACGCTTCGCTGGCTATGACTGACAATTCCTGGGGCAGACATAGCCCAAAATTTCCGAGAGATAAGCAATATTTTTATTTAATAATATATCTATTTTTTTTTTTATTCATTATCATTGGTAAGCAGATATTATAATTAGTTGATGCTCATTACGAAGATCAAATCTATCGAGTTGTATGTTTATCGGAGTGATTTCCTGGCTCCTCGCATGCTGTAATCACACGCACCTTAATATAAATATATATATATATATATATATATATATATGTATTATATATATATAATTTATATATATATTGTATATATTATATATAGAGAAAGAGAGAGACAGGCATATATATATGCCGCGCCCGAGGTCACGCCTGACCGGGGCTGGGCCCGCCAGTGACCCCAGGCAATCCTCCCGTTGACCGCGCGATACCCAAGACTTGTCTTGTTGTGTTAAACTAATCCATATGCTGAACTTTTAAGAATAAAGAGTGTAAAGCCACTCAAGCTTTTTACTACTCCTGTCACCAATGTTTAGAGTTCTTATATACCCTTCACACACATAATATATACATATACATACACATATGTGTGTGTGTGTGTATGCATACACATATATATATTATAACCATTTGAGGCAATATGAGTGGTCACCGGTGGGTCCTTGTGTGACACTGAAGGTGGTCGACCCACTGGAGGGCAAGCCCAGTACAAAATGGGCATTTATCAATGTAAAAATAGCTTGAGAACCCTACTACACAATTCATTTCATTGTGTATTTTCATTCATTTGGAGTTCATCTCTCGAGACTGAGAATCTTCAAAGGGGGAATCAAGGAATGACGTGATAACATTTAGTAGAAATCGTTGCAGTGCTTTCCTATTTTTTTGCTGCTCATCCTTAAAGAAATGGTGCCATAGCTTAAAATCAGACACAGGCAAATCAGTCTATACATCTTTATTTGGTATGCCTTTTACTCAAGGAATCTAAAGAAAGGATATCCTTACACAAACTCAATTATATAACAAAAATATTGTAACACAATAAAAAAAAGGTTCTTGGTAATATCACAAAACTAATAAAAATAATCATTCTAAAATACTTAAATTAAGTAAGGCTAGGCCTACATCATATGGCTTCAAACAAAATCACAGTCTGTATCTTAATGAAACATCACAGAATATAAACAGGGAACCAATGCAATTTCATGATCCATATCAAGGAACTGAAGCAATTCAGTGCCAAACAAAAATGGACAGGTATTCCATTGCATCTCATTAATAAGCCTATTCATTTTTAGCTGAATCCAGAGGCTGTCGAAATGGCATTCGAAAAGGCTTGTGTGTGCCTCTGGAGGCTGGAGATTTCAGTGACCGCAGTGCTGATGGCGTTCCGTAGCTTCCCAGTGCCTTGAACTTGCTGCGTATTTCCCTGGAACGTTGCTGCAGTCTGCTGAGACCTGTGCTTGGAGTGCCGTCTTTGTGCTCTCTTTGGTAATCTCCTTGTGCATTCTCGGGAGCAGTTGCTCCTTGTCCATTCTCCCGGCCTACCCTGCTCTGCTCACGGGATGGGGAAGTCCCTCCCTCAGGTGAGACTCTTTCACTAAATTGGCCGTCCAACTTCATATCTCCCTCGCACAGAAGAGTCTTCATATTCTGCTATAATAAAAAATGATGTTACTATTTGTTTATCTATTTTAACTGTACAGAACTGAATCATGGATTTTTTTAAATATAGGAATTATATATACATATATATGTGTTATATGCACACACATATATATTATCTATTCTCTTCTATCATCGCGATCGAATTTCAGTTTAATGGTTTTATGATCACGATATTCCTTCCAGTTTTGTGGTGAGTGCTGCACATTATGATAATCATAAACTCAGTAAGAGTGAAATGAAAACCGTACTTGTGAGAGATTTCTTAAGCTTGTTCGATATCAAGCTTAAACGATAGTCATTCGCATATCTCATTCCTAAGTTACCTCCACGTTGGTTGGGCTTCATGCAGCAGATGTAACTCAGCACAGATTTGCGAGTCAAGGTGGCTAAGAGCCTAGGAGGTGCTGGCGAATGAGGACCTGAAACGAATCTCTTCGGACATCTGATGTCAGTAGGGTAAGCCTATGAGAAAAATTGTAAATGAGAATGCGGTTCATTTGATGTCAACAGCAGTTCGAAGTAAATTCAATAAGATCAACGTCGCGACTTGCAGAGATATACAAGCACTCGCCTACCTGGACGGGGAGGATGGACTTCTTTAGGCTGTGATCGGGAGACGTTGCTCAGAAGGCGCAGAACCTGAAAATCTGAAATCTGGCTGAAAATTGTACATCTACACGGAAATAACTGTCGATCTTACAATGCCGACAAACGTGCAAGCTCTTCAATGCTGGAGGGCTGGTTCGGCCCTCTCCAGAGAAGAAGGCGTGAAACATCGCAAACACTGAACGATTTTCACACATACAAAAAAAAAAAAAAAAAAATCCCGATGACATTCTCTTACCTCAGGAATAATGAACGGAAAATACCACTCTTTGCCAATACTGTCTGCCCAATCAACACCCTCAAAAAGAAAAGGTACCGCATGGGGACCGTGTGCTTTCCTCAACCTCAGTAAAGACCGTCATTCCGTAAAAAAAAAAAAAAAAAACTTGTATTACCTTTTTTTTTTTTTTTTTTTTTTTTTTTTTTTTTTTTTTTTTTTTTTTTTTTTTTTTTTTTTTTTTTTTACTGTTGAACCTCGTTTGGAAATTCCCCTGACGCCATTCTGGGCCCAAACCCAAGAGAGAGGGAAGGAACGCGACCATACGACCAATGCGGGAGGTCACACAGCTGTTTGATAGCACAGCTTCGTAAAACAACAGTTGGTTTTCCCCATCATCAGAAGCAACATTAAAAACAAAATATACCTTTGGCCGGTCTACGCACCATACCTTCAATTGTCACACTTAGTAAGGGATAAGGATAAGTCCGATATGCGAAGCTGAGCCCGGCCTCAGTCGACTAATGTTGACTTGCTAACAGTGTGTCAGCTGGTGCTGACTCGGCTTGGTCCAAAGGTCTTACTTATTTTATCACCATCGACTGCTGAGATGCTGACGGGCTGGTGGAGGCAACGTCTTCCGGCGGACCGCTCGGTGCAAGAAACATTTCTAGAGAAGATTAGCGCCACTAGCTGTATGCGCATATATGTATGCACATACACACATATATATATATATATGTATGTGTGCATATATACATAAAACTTTATATATATAAATATATATATATATATGTAAATAAAATGTGTATATATGTGTGTATGTTTCTATATATCTTTCTATCTATATATATAAAGATTACATATATATACGTATGTGTATATATATGGGTATATATATACACATTGTTTACATTCGTGCCGTCACAGATGCGGTGTTTGACTACTAGGCGCCATGTTGAAATCATGAAATCATGGGTCTTTTTATACTGGGGTGGCTGACCCATGATCCTTACCTAATATATGCAAATCCGCATGTGTGGGTATGCATGAATGCCCACACGCACGCACGCATACACATATATGCATAATACACAAACACAAAAATACATATATATAATTTATTCCTATACATACATATATATAGATAGACAAAGAGAGCGCGAGAGAGGTATATGTATGCATATCTATAAAGATAGATAGAAAGATAATATATATCACAAACATATACATATAATATATGTATTATATATATGCATATATATATAATATATATATGCATATATATGTGTGTATACATATATACATATATTTATAACATATATATATGCACACAAACACACACGCACATACACAAATATACATATACTTTATATATATATACATATATATACTATATATATACACATACATATGTGTATATATAATATATATATATACATATATGTATATATACTATATATAATGTATACACACGCACACACACATATATGCATATATTTAAATATATATGTATATGTATGCATATATATACTTATATTTATATACATATATTTACATATATATATATACATACTTATATGCACACACACACAAATACATATATACATACCAGTTAACCCTTCTCACTAGTCTGGAGCAATCCCTCCAAGGATCCCCCAGGCACTGCCCTCGGGGTTCACCGGCGAGGGGACTCGAGTGAGCGGCCCGGAACCAAAGACAAGTGACCAAGAGGCTCGAAAGATATCTCGAGCCAGTTGACTCTCACAAAAGGGGAGCGAAGCAGCGGCGACGACGCACGTTTTCGGCAGGAAAGAAGGTGGAGCAACCAGGCGACAGTTCGCGGTCCAGCAGTAGAAAGGAGCAAGGGGTCGCGAGAAGCAGATGGCGCATTCAGCGTAAAGGAGCTGTGGATAGTTGGCAACAGCCAGGGCGTAGAAGCAGGCCAGGAGAAGTGTAGGCGGTGACCCAGCCTCGAACGGTGCAGGATAGTTTCCCCGGACGGATTCTGGTCAGTGGGTGAGCCTCTCCTCCCTGGCACGTGCGATATGTGCCTGCTTTGGTGCACGATTATGCTTTTTCAAGACAGTGAACCAATCAACATAATATTAACATTGTACTAACTGTGGGAAAATACAAATGTTTTAGAGATACGTTACCTCAGTACAATAACAATACTCCCCATGGAAGAATTATCAAAATATTTTGTTTGTAAAAAAAATCCTTGAAAGTATTTTCAGGGTATTGGAACAAGTTAAGCTCACATTCTGCCGGATGACGGCATCTCGTGAACCGAGTAACATGTGCCACGTATAACATTGGTCTGAAAGCACCATGTCACGTGTCATTTACCACTTGCTGCGTGCAAAGTACCACCTTGGTATGAAAGCGGCTTAACCTTGTCCTGAAGTGGCAAACAACAGGTGGTAAGTGTCAACTGAAACGTGATTACAGACCTAGGTTTCACGTGGCGCGTGTCAGACCGCTCTCACCCGGTTCACAAGATGGTGTCTGTCACTTGGTGGAATGAGGACCTTGGGGTAGGTAGGTGTGGCACACTTGTTCCATGTCCAGGGTGTAGGTGGAATGACCCCTAAGGTGTAACTACTACATATAAATGTTGGGTAGCAGAAGCAGTAACATATTTATTGGGGAATGAGATCACTTTGATACAAAATTCGAAACAAAGCACTGAACTATTACCTGAAAAAAATTATGCGGACTTTTTTTTTCACAAACAAAATATTTGGATAATTCCAGGGAGAGTATCGTCACAGAACTGTGTAGATGTTTCATCATACAAACATTTGTATTTCCTCACAGTTTGTCCAAATGCGTTGATTGGCTCATCATCTGGAAGAGGCCTGACTGTGCACGAGATGAAGCACACATTGGACTGTATTCTCCTGCAAGACTGCGCGCGGTTACCCTCTCATCCAAAGCTTCTCTCACTGGGTGACCGAAGCAATGTGTCGAATGTTTTTGCAGGAAATCTGTCAAGTCTTTTCGAATTTACTCTATGTATGTTATACACCCAACAATTTCCTTTTATATTATGTTGTTTGATCCTAACGTTTTTATATTATCTTAACTATGACTGTAAAAGCTTCATTAGTATCTGACATGTCCGAGGTGATTGATCGCATGCTGAAAAATAACAGACGGCGGTTGCTCGTGGCAAATGCGACGTGCCACTTCACATCTGTGTGAAACGTTCCATATATTCTCAAGTGTTCATTTTCAAATGGCATGCCACGGGTGACATGCCATCTTGGTGTGAAAGCGACCCTAATGCAGGATAAATCTATCCGCAGACACCCCGAACAATGATGTTATGAGAACGTAGTCTTCTGACTTGTCTTATGTAGACTTGTCTCTAATAATCACCCACAACTTCCCCTTTGACGAGCTGCTTTGCTCCCCGGGCTTCCAGGTCACCACGCCATGCTCGAGGAGGACGAGTGCCACTCCCATGAGACGGGGAAGCGATGGCCTGGACCGCCTTGTACTTTGGATGCCACGGCGCTGTAAATGTCTCAAAGACGTAAAATGTGTACAAAGGATAAACAAATAAAGGATAAAAGCGGAGGGTAACCACGGCCACTTCTTGTGCACAAGGGGTAATTTAGAAGCAAATAGATCAGCAAGCCAAACCAAGAATATCCATTGCAACAAATGGGATAAAAATAAATTTAAAAATTAATTAAAGCAAATAAAAAAATAGCAATGACTGAATCCAGGAGCTGCAACTGGAGTGATACATGCAACGATAAAATAAATCCAACTCACTTTGGGAATCATTGGGACACTCGAAAGACAGCTCCAAAGTCCTGTTCGGCTGTATTTCAAAATACTTTATCTGGTTGTTGTATTTCCTTTTTCCAAGATCAAAGAAACTGACACCTGCGAGAAACAAGTATGAACTGAGTATCTCTGCGTATCTCATCCTCTTATCTGTGCATTTCTCTATAACACATGCACGCACACCCATGCACACGCGAGCACACACACGCACACACACACACATATACACACGTACACACATACATACACATACTCTCAAACACATTCCTGCGCATATACGTATAAACCCATACATACATACATACACACGTACACGTACACGAATCTGCGCGGCTGGCCTTACCGTCCTTCCACAAGTCCATCCGGAGTTGCGTCCTGAGGTTGCCCGACACAGATTTTCCTCCAAACGTCAGAAGTACTTTGGAGGTTCCATTCGCCTTCGGTCTGGCGTGTAAGGTGTCCCCAGGGGGATGGAGGGTGAATAATGTTCGGTTCGTGCTCTCAAAGGGATGATAGAATCCTCGAAGGCAATAACCAGGGCAGTCTGTGGGAGGAAAGGCCAGGGGGCGCTGAGTGATCTCTCCATAGCTATCTATCTTAATTGTTGCATTTCAGTTTGCTGTAATCTAGCCACATATTACAAAATCTACCGGGCAGCGGGAAGAGGTTCAGGAGGGTAGGAGAACAGGAGGGGGTTGAAGAGGGTAGGAGGGCAGGAAGGGGTTCAAGAGGGAGATGAGCGACTCTAGAGGCAAATGAGCTTCAGCGGCCTCCCCTCTCTTCTTTTTTCCTTTCGCTTTCTCTTCCACACTCCCTCTTTCTTCCTCTTCCTCCTTTCCTCTCTTCTTCCTTCCTCCGCTCCACCCTCTCTCCCCTTTCATCCTCTATCTCCCTTTCTCCGTTCCTCTTCTTTTTCCTCAACCTATCTTTTTCTCCTCTTTCCCTTCTCTTCTTCCAATCTTCTCGCCATGCACCTCACAAACCGGAAATGTCGCCTCAAAGAACACGAGCGCCACTTACTTATTGGAAAGAAACGGTAGAATCCCTCGCCTGAGAAGAGAAAACACATGAGTTATGCAGAGTAATGCACAGTAAATATGCCCACTTAGCTTAGTCTGTGTAGCCCCTTTGAGAGGTCTGCCATGGCGCGAGAGGGACGTACCTTGACCCGGGGACAGAGAGAGCAGGCCGACCAGGAGCAAGAGCCTCAGATCAGACATCTTGAAACAACGCTTCGCTGGCTATGACAGACAATTCCCGGGGCAGACACAGCCCTTTATTTCCGAGAGATAAACAATATTTTTATTTAATATATCTATTTTTTTATTATTCATTATCATTGGTGAGCAGATATTATAATTAGTTGATGCTCATTACGAAGATCAAATCTATCGAGTTGTATGTTTATCGGAGTGATTTCCTGGCTCCTCGCATGCTGTAATCACACGCACCTTAATATAAATATATATATATATATGTATTATATATATAATTTATATATATATTGTATATATTATATAGAGAGAAAGAGAGAGACAGGCATATATATATGCCGCGCCCGAGGTCACGCCTGACCGGGGCTGGGCCCGCTAGTGACCCCAGGCGATCCTCCCGTTGACCGCGCGATACCCAAGACTTGTCTTGTTGTGTTAAACTAATCCATATGCTGAACTCTTAAGAATAAAGAGTGTAAAGCCACTCAAGCTTTTTACTACTCCTGTCACCAATGTTTAGAGTTCTTATATACCCTTCACACACATAATATATACATATACACACATATATATACACATATGTGTGTGTGTGTATATATATATATGCATATACATATATATATTATAACCATTTGAGGCAATACGAGTGGTCACCGGTGGGTCCTTGTGTGACACTGAAGGTGGTCGACCCACTGGAGGGCAAGCCCGGTACAAAATGGGTATTTATCAGTGTAAAAATAGCTTGAGAACCCTACTACACAATTCATTTCATTGTGTATTTTTATTCATTTGGAATTCATCTCTCGAGACTGAGAATCTTCAAAGGGGGAATCAAGGAATGACGTGATAACATTTAGTAGAAATCGTTGCAGTGCTTTCCTATTTTTTTGCTGCTCATCCTTAAAGAAATGGTGCCATAGCTTAAAATCAGACACAGGCAAATCAGTCTATACATCTTTATTTGGTATGCCTTTTACTCAAGGAATATAAAGAAAGGATATCCTTCTTACACAAACTCAATTATATAACAAAAATATTGTAACACAATAAAAAAAAGGTTCTTGGTAATATCACAAAACTAATAAAAATAATCATTCTAAAATACTTAAATTAAGTAAGGCTAGGCCTACATCATATGGCTTCAAACAAAATCACAGTCTGTATCTTAATGAAACATCACAGAATATAAACATGGAACCAATGCATCTTCATGATCCATA